GGAGCGGGGAGGAGAGTCTTATGCTGCCCCTGGTGGGATGAGTGTTCTGGCTTGCATTTTCTGTTCCTGCCGGTCCCTGCAGATATGACTACACCAAGCAGAGGGGGCAGAAAACGGGGAGGCCCCCTGCTTTCCTGGTTCACCCTCCTTTGGAAAGAAAAGCACATGGTCTAGCAACCCCTCTATGCTTGGTCAATTCCATGATGCGTGACCCCAAGGGTGGCCAGGGATACAGGGAGCCACTACAGAGGGTCAACTGACCAGGAGTTTGTGGTGGCTGAGCCAGACAAAAGGCCCAAATTAAGAAATGAAAGCCACATTTAGTAAATGAGGTTTTCCTGAGCTGCTTGGAGCTCTGCATTTGAGCCAGTCACCAGCTAAGGGAGCACACATGGGAGGAGCCTACAGCCCATCTCTGGCTAAGTAGCAAGCAGTCCCTCCTCTGTCTTGTGTAGAAACAATGTTTCTGGGTGGACCTAGTGTGCTGAGTTCCTCCAGACAGAGAGGTGCTATGCTTCTGGGATTCTGTGGGTCACACAGCAGTTTTGAAAACTAACACAGTAACGCTGTGTAACTTACATGGGGCTGTAACCAATTTTAAACTTTTGCCAGGATATTCTTTTGATGGAAAGACCTTGCATCTATAATTTTTAGTAATAACTAAGGGTTTCAACTTTGGGTTCACTTTTTAAATATTTTTGACAAGTTTGAGATTAGTTGTTTACTGTAGCAAACTAACAGGAAACACAGGCCTCCAACAGACTGGAGCATAACAATGAAGCCACCAAATATAAAGCAGCACTACAGCAAACAGCAGAGATTTACAGGGCAAAGGGCCGAGCTGGGGGCGGGGGGAGGTGGCATGTCTGAGTCAGAAGCTAGAGCACTCTGTCTAAGAGACATCCAGAACTCAGGACTCCAAAGACCGGGCAGTGCTTGGCCCTCTGCACCCAGGGCTGAGGCTACGCTTCTAGAGAAGTCACAACAGAGGCAGTCCCACATGGATTTACCACAGAAAAGATAATAAAGGCTCCTTTCTTTTTAAAAAAAGAATGTATGTGCATGTATAGACATATATATACATAGACATATATATATATATATACATATATATGTGTATATATATATACACACACACACACACACACACACACACACATATATATATATACACACATATATACACATACATACACATAGCAAATAAATTTGGGGCTTTACCAACATTTATTCACTTTACATGGCGATCACAGCCCCTCCTCTTCTCCCAGCCCCACCCTTAGTTTCCTCTATCCAGTACCATCTCCCCTTCTCTAAAGAGAAGGGGAGCCCCCCACCCTCACCCCTTGGGTACCACCTTTCCCAGGGACATCTAGTTCCAGAACTTGAGGTTCTTTTTTTAACTATTATTTTTTTATTTGTGGGTCTGTGGCTGGAGCCCAGGGACTAGTGTATATAATACGAACATATACCACTGAGCTATAACTCTAGCCCTAGGCAATTAAAAATTTGTAACAGAAATAAAAATGTGCACAGGACATGCCAGTTACTGAAATGGCGGGTGGGGCTGGAAAAAAAAGGTACATCATGTCTCATTAGAAGAAAGCAAAAATGTAGACACAGAGTTGACTTAAATGTATCAAGTATTCATGACAGTTGTGTCTTGTGTTGGTTTTCTGGTCTTATGGGCCTACTGAACTGAGATCATAGGTGGCTCTGGTTTCCTCCCACAGCTGTAGGCCTTAGATGGCCTGGGGAGGGCCACAGACAGCCAGTGTTGAAGAAAGGTAAACCTCAGGCATGGCCTGAGGCTGGAAGCAGGCAGCCTGAGATAGAATCAACAGCCTCAGTGCCCAGCACTCCATCCCAAGGGGCAAATTCCTGCCGCATACCCATTTTAGGCTATGCCCAGCCAACATTCACATTGTATGATTAACCCAGAGCCTTTTTTTGTAAAACACTTCATGTATTTACAAAAGAAATGCTTCCTATGTATCAGCTTTTTAGTTTGTAAAACACCTCATGTATTTAACAAAAGAAATGTTTCCTATGTATCAGTAGTGGTCTATGTTTGTTCACCCTTACCAGGAAAGGAAAGGTTGGTCTCACAGTTTCCATACTGGTCACCTGCTTCTTCCCAGGGCCTCCTGGCTGTGTGAGGTGGAACTAACTGGCTTCCTGGCCTCCTACCCTGGCTTACCTGATTGAATATGCCCTCAGGAAATTCTGTCTACCCCTGTGTTAGCATGTCTTCTGCCAGGACCCTGGTTGGGAGACAGAGGATACCTTCCATTTGTTGGCTTACCCACGCACTTGCCAGTGGCTGGGCAATGGTCAGGGAACTGTAAAAGTTACATCTGGTTCTTCCTCCCAGCCGCATACTCTCAGAAATAAGACTCAGACTCAAAATATATTTACAAAATACCTTGGCCATACAGTTAGGCTCTTCTCTGACTAGAATCATAACTTAAAATTTATTTTAATCCACATTTTGCCACGTGGCTGGTTACCTGTGCTGAGGCACTATGTGTTAGTCTCCTCCCGTCTCCTCAGGCGATCTCCTGCCTGGCTCTATCCAAGAATCCTTTCTGCTTCCCGATGTCCCACCTTCTAAGCCATAAGCCATAAGCTTTTTAATTGACAGGTGACACATCCATACAATACACAAAATATTCTCTCTACAGAGGACAAGAGATATCAGCCCTTTGTGGGGCTCATGAAATCTTACTGACACGGGGTGTGGCAACACTCTTTTTGTACTAGCATTTGAATGTGCCCCTTTAAGGTTATGTTGACACATTACATCCATGGTGAGGGATAGGGAAGGGCCTCTTCCCAGCCACCAGCTCCCACAATCAGTGACAACCCCAGCCAAAGAAAACACGTAAGTCACCATGTGTTCAGCCAGTGATCCTTAAAGGCCTCCAGGAAACTAACTTGGGCTTTCTGTCTTTTCAGCCCTTCTGCTCTTTAGATACATGGCATACCTTCCTCCTGGGGATAAAGAAACATTCCACGTAGGAAGGACTGGGCCTCTTCCTGATTGAAGCTGCCAGCACCTGACTTTGGACCTCCAGCCTACAAGATTAGAAATGTGTCGTCTCTGTTCTTCCTCTGGGACCCAGGCTCAGGTGTTGTCCCTACGGCACACAGGACTGAGACAATTCTTAATTCTCATCAGGAGGGTCACCACAGGCTGTGAACAGGGACTTAAGGGCTCAGGTAGGGTAGGCCTCTTGCTAGCGGTGTTGTCATAGAAGCAACAGGGCCAACTGAGGAGCTGTCTGTGGAAGGAGAGCCACGTGATCCATGTGCCTCACAGAAGACAAGAGCACACAGCCAGTGACTCGCTGTGCCACACCAAGTCCAGCGCTACTTTGGGGAGACTATGGCATGCCAAGAGAAAAGTGAGCCTCGGTGCTAAATGAAAGGAGTAAGGGCAAGTCACCGGTAAGAGATGGGGAAGACGCTGGGTTGTTTCCCACCAATCAGCATCTCTGACTCATCACATTCTCTAATTTTGGAAACACGGGAACGTGTAACTATCTACTTTGAGAGAAAGGGAGGACTCTTGGTTTTCCACACCGGTCAAGTGGGAGAGCTTCTCTTCTGCAGTGGCTGAAGACAGAAGCCAGGCAGGCCTCATGCGTGCTAGGTAAGCTCTTACTAAGCGGCACCCCATTCTAATACCTAACAGCTGATGCATGAGTCTAGTGGGGCACACATGACCTGTGGCTCCTCGGTGTCCTCTGGACCATGCCCCTCTCCAAGACCTGTCTGGCAGGAGAGCGGAGACCACAGAGGTGCTGTAGCTGGGAAGGGTGGCCATTCTCTAGGCCAGTTGTTCTCAGCCTGTGGGTCATGACCTCTTTTGGTGATCGACTGACTCCTTCACAAGGGGTTGGAAAAAGCGGATATTTAATTATGATAATAGCAAAATTACGGTTATGAAGTAGCAATGAAAGTAATATCACGGTTGGGGATCACCACAGCATGAGAAACTATTAAAAGGGCATAGCAAGAGAACCACTGCTCTAGGCAGTAAAGACGGGGAGTACTGCTCACTTCACCCCCAGAGCCTTCTCACGGATGCTCGCCTCCAAGGTGCCTGGGAGAAGTCCTGGTCAGAAAAGAGATGTGTGTGGAGTGACCGGAGGCCACCTGAGCTACAGGATTGACACTCAGCTGACACACGTGAAGACAGAGGATATAACATGAGGTCACACTCCTAGTAGAGGGCAGAGGAAGTCAGATGAACTCCCTGTACTGGCTAGATGTGTGTGTCCACTTGACACAAGCTGGAGTTAGCACAGAGGAAGGAGCCTCCCTTGAGGAAATGCCTCCATGAGATTCAGCTGTAAGTCATTTTCTCAATTAGTGATCAAGAGTGGGAGGGCCCACTGTGGGTGGTGCCATCCCTGGGCTGATAGTCTTGGGTTCTATAAGAAAGCAAGCTGAGCAAGCCAGGGGGAGCAAGCCAGTAAGTAACATCCCTCCATGGCCTCTGCATCAGCTCCTGCTTCCTGACCTGCTTGAGTTCCAGTCCTGACTTCCTTTGATGATGAACAGCAGTGTGGAAGTGTAAGCTGAATAAACCCTTTCCTCCCTAAACTGCTTCTTGGTCATGATGTTTTGTGCAGGAATGAAAACCCTGACTAAGACACTCCCCAAACACATTCTGGTCCCATGAAGACTTGCCGACACGTTCAGGACGCGGAGTGTTCTCGCTCAGTCAGTGAGCTTCCGCTCATGTCATCAGATGGGAAGTGTTTGGGTTTTGGAAAGAGCTGTCACTTTATTAAACTTCTGCCCAGTTAAAAACCGACAGGCTGGCGCCTCGACAAAGCACACACGGGAGCTATAGGGTTTCCAGTTGACAGTCTTAGAAACACAAAGTAAGGGCATTCTTAGACTAAAATAAATAAGCGTCGTACGTCCTGATAAAGTTAAAGAGCTAACACTCAAAGTGTGCTGAGGCCAACAATCCATGGCACGCGTTAAGTCACACATGATTTTCAAGAACAACCACCATTTCTCAGGTAGTTCTGACAAACAAAACAACAAGCTGTACTTTAATAGTTCTCTGGGAAAGTTTTTGTGTCTGCCAATAGCACTCATTGCTAGCTAGCCAGTGTCTGGAGGTCTAACCCAGAAACAGTGCAGCGTGTGCTCACGGGCACGTCAGGCAAGCTGCTTGCTCTGGGCCCTAGCAACTCAGGATGCTCGTCTGAGGACAGGATCCCCTCACAGCCTAGAGGGGAAAGGCAGAGCAGAATCGGGGGCTGGCTTAGCCACTTACATCAATTAAAAATATCTCAAAGATCCAGACACCTTATTCTGTCAATTAAGAAATACATTACTAAAAATTCTCATTTAAAGAAGAGGTTATTAGGTTGCTTGGGGTCTTGTTGTTGTTTTTGTTGTTGCTGTTGTTTTTGAAGTACAAGATTTCACACAGCCACCATGCCAGGAGGGGTAGACAGACTCTAGTAAGCCACCAAGAAGAACCCCTTACCATAACTTCCGCCTCTTGCCACCAGAGGGCAGTGCACCGCCACAGGCTTAAAATTCCCCAGGCTGGTAAATAAATATCAGCAAATCACATTTTCTTAGGGTCAATTCGTTGCAATGCAAAAAAAAGAACATGACTTCCAAATAAGGCACGTCCACACCCACACGGGGTCCTTCCTGATGAATCCTCTCAGGGATCCAGACAGGCCTCCTCGGCAGCCTGTACACTTGGCAGCCATAGCTTCCTCCTCCCTAACACTGCCTTGGCAGATACGCTGTGGTTGGGGCCGCACCGGAAGACTCAGAGGAAGGTCGTGATGGCAAAGACCTCCTGCAGGCACGTCAGGGCCCCAGCAATACTTCACGGGTACTTTAGAATTCATACTAAAGAACAAGTTAGTGTTCACCTAGATAAAAACTCTTCATCCATACGTAAGAAAACTTTACCCAACCCTGGACACTAGCCAGCCCCTGGGCGGGCGCTACAGCCTCTTTTTCCGAGGCACTTGACCATTGGTCTTTTCTTGCCTGCTGCCCTTGGCTTCTGCCTGTGCAAAGTTCCAATCCACAGGATTGAGAAGCTGCTGGGTCTTCTTGTGTGTCCAGTAAGGGTTGATGATGGCTGTGAGCAGGGCCAGCCCGAGAAGGAACAGTGCCAAGTGGGCTGGGTGCAGGCTGCTGGTGAGGGCGTCCCAGTGGCAGAAGCACACCCACCACATGTGGTAGGTGAGGATCATCCGGCAGTGGAACATGTGGACCATCAGCCACTGGTTGACCTTCCAGACCAGGGAGTCTGACCAGCCAGCCTGAGGACAAAGCAAACCCGAGCGTCAGTGATGGGAATGGGGAAAGGCATCTGTGCCCTTCATGCACCCTCCAACTCAGCTCAAAGCAACAGGCTTCTTGCCAGCGTTTGCTCTCTTGGGCTTAATTCTGAAGGAAGGTGAAAGCCGGGGCCAGCACCTTACCCGGCTGGCCTTCCGACTCTAAAGGCAAAACTCCCATCTTTCTATCTTGAATTAGCACATATCATAAACCGGACAGGACCTGCTTATCTGGCAGTAGCTCGGAGCACACACACCCTGGAGCAATTTGGATAGACTTCGTGACCTGGTTCTGTTAGCGCTTTCACCTCAGAGGGCCTTGGATGCGGGTTAAAATGGACTTGGTGTAACACCATGCCGTGGGCACAGAAGTGAGTTTCAGCAGCTGTGGCTGAGGCTGAGCAGAATGTGATATCCCAACGTGAACATAAAAAGCCGAGCCCAGCTACACCACCTAGACCAGGTGCTTCCCGACGGCAGCCTTCAGGCCTCCTCAGACAGCCAACCCCAGCACAGACGGGGCAGCTGCTCCCTCCCAGGATGAGACTCGAACCCTGAGTGAGCAGAACTTGGGAACTCAGTGCCTGGGGACTGGGACCACTGGACCCAGTTTCCTGGGAAGTCAGGAAGCTAAGATAGGACTATTGTTTGGGAGACCACTGGGTCTGAGACAAGGCTCATCTGACTTCTGAATTCAGTAAAGAGAAGAAAAGAAAGTTGATCTCACACTACTGTAAAGATACATGATATATTCTAACAATCCCCAAACCCCGAGCCACTGACTTAAGGGGTAGCCTTTTGATTGTATAGAATATCACAAATAGATCTCTTCAGAATGTTTTAAGTTAAAAAAAAATAATGTTCTCTATGACATATAACACTAGTCACTTAGTCCTAAGAGCCACTGAGCCACTAATGTTTCTTTTAACTCTAAGACTTAAATTTAAGAAGCTGAGTGTTGGGTGGTGTTGATGCAGGCCTTTAATCCCGGCACTTGGGAGGCAGAGGCGGGTGGATCACTGTTGAGTTTGAGGCCAGGATACACACAGAAGAAACCCTGTCTTGAAAAACCAAAACCGGGCTGGAGAGATGGCTCAGAGATTAAGAGCACTGACTGCTCTTCCAGAGGTCCTGAGTTCAATTCCCAGCAACCTCATGGTGACTCACAACCATCTGTAATAGGGATCTGATGTCCTCTTCTGGTGTGTCTGAAGACAGCTACAGTGTAATCACATACATAAAAATAAATAAATCTTTAAAGGAAGAAAGAAAGAACGAACAAAAGAAAGAAAGAAAGAAAGAGAGAAAGAGAGAAAGAAAGAAAGAAAGAAAGAAAGAAAGAAAGAAAGGGAAAGAAAAAAAGCATGACCACAAGGGATGGCCAGAGCAGCCCCGATGAAACGTAGTAAGTAAAAAAAAAAAAAGAAAAAAAAAAAAGAAAAAAATAAGCTGAATTCAGCCAGGTAATGTCTCACTGCGTAGGTCCTAAGGCAGGTCCCAGTGACATTCCAGCCAATGTAAGGTACCCTGTGTAAGACACCCTGCTCTGCAGCCACAAGACAACCCCCCCCCTCCGCCACGACCCCATCAGGACGCACTCACCTTCAGGAGCATCCAGGAAACGCAGGTGAAGGGCGTGCTCATCTCTAGGAGCAAAGTGGTCATGGCTAGATAGTGGCCAGCTCTGAGATTGATCGCTGAACCGAGGAACCCAAGGAAGGCAAAGAGGTGATGGACAACCAGAAACAAGTCAAATGTGCGGAAGAACAGGTTGGACAGGTGAACAGCCACGTTCTCAAAGAAGAAGAATCCAGTGGCTGTGGTGATGTGAAACCAGCACCAGTTCTGCTGCCCGAGACCTTTGTTGGCGTAGAGCACGGGGTCCCCCAGCAGGGCCCACAGGCCTGCGGCTGTGCTCTGGACACCGAAGACAGCACGCGTAGCTGCCAGGTCCCAGAACACCTTTTCTTTGGCCGCCAGAGAGCGGTAGGTGGCATTCAGGGAGGATGAAAGTTGGTGGCAGACCACAAAGACGCCCAGGTAGAAGACAAAGCCAGCTACTGCTAGAGTTGACCGGATCTTCCAGGAAGCATAGTCTAAGTCAAAAATGCTCTCTGCCACCCCATGGTTGCTCACAGGAGTCATGATCTTAATCTGGACGCCAGAAGTGTCCCCCAGGTCCAACACGGGGCAGCTGGGCTTGACTCCACTCCTCACTTTCAGCGAAGCTGTCTCTAGGATCTTCGGGTACCCATCCTCAATCTGAAGAAGAAAGAAAATTCACCCTGTGCTGACTCAGAAGAAGCGTGAGATCGAGAAACACCGCTGCCTTCCTCTCACGGACAGTCTACTCACCCACTCCTGGCCCCCAATCCCACCACAGGACAAAGGTAAGAGGAGTGTCTCTTAGACGCTGTACCTCACTCTTCTGCTTACGAAGATTCATAGACCCTGCGAGGTATCTAACAGAGAGCACAGGAGAACGGAGTAAGCCGAACCCGAGATGGTCAGCCACGAAGGGAGGCAGGCACCGACCTGGGCGTGGGGGCAATGCTCTTCCCATAGAGCTACCGGCTTGGCTCCAGTCTCTGCAGCAGCCTAGTTATAAACCACATGACCCAGAGGCTGAATGACGACTTTAGTTCCTCTGTTAAGACTCTAATAGAGCTTTCAGAATAAGTCTGCGGGACCTATTGGTGTTTTTGTGTGATTCTCTTACTTCCCTGGGCCCCGACCTCAAACTCTTCTGTACCTTGCTCCATATCTCGGGTTCTGAGTTTAAATCTCTCTGTGGAGAGATTTGCTCCTGCCCCTGCCCAGCTAGCTTAAATCCATTTGTTTCAGATGCCCTCAAGTCCCTGGAAAAGTACCAGGCACTGGGCCAAATGCTCTCATGGTGGGCTTCATACAAACTCACGTGCCCTCCGGGACTAAACCTGAGCTGCATTCTAGTACTGGGGCAGGGGACTAGCCTGTTCATCTTTATAACTCCACTGCCTGGTATGTTGGCTGGTATACAGTAGGCCCCCATGAAATACTTGTTGGATGTATGCACAGATTCTAAATTGTCCATAAACGGCAAAAGGGACCTTGACGGAACCAACTGTGTCAGTGAAACCGTAAAAGCCAGAGTCTCAAGGCTGAAGGAAATTTTGAGACCTAATGGGCCTTTCACTTCCAGAATCAGGGTCAGCCACAGAGAGCCAGTCCCACAGCAAGTGGAAACAACCCTGACCCTGCTTCCTCAGGGGCAGGGTGCTTCTCTACATCTGCTTTGTGGGACAGAGGCAGGACATCGCGGGGCTGTGCACCCACCAACTGGACCAGGAAGCAGCAGAGTAAGTACCAGAAGCATTGCATTAACTTTCTATCTACACTAATCCATCCACTCCGAAGCCACAGAAAAGACCAGAACATGTGGCTTGCGCTAAGCGCTAAGCTTGAGTGATAGGCTCATGCCAAAGGACAAAGAACCAGTGGCCATTACACTCCTAACTTGGCAGAGGACCTATGAGCAAGGCCGACACTCTGGGAGTGCTGGTTTTCCCCTTACTTTAACACAGGACACAGCTGTGTGGGCACAACTCTGGTATTCATGTATCCCCTGCAATCCTAGGAGCCTTGTGTCACTGTTCCCAGTGTGTCCCCAGGCACACGGAAATAAATGCTCTCTGGAGATGATGACCCAGAGGCTGCTCTGTGCACAGCCCCCACCTGTGGCTCACACCCCTGCCTGCACCAACGACTCCAAAGTTACCCTCACTCACACAAAATTTAACACGTTCCCACAGGGCTGGGGTACCTGGCCTTGGAATGGCTCTGCAGTTTTGTTTTGTTTTGTTTTGTTTTTCTGAGAATGAAGCTCTGAATGTGTAATTCCCCCTGCCACCCAGCTGAGTGCTTTACCCTTTGTAACCCAGGCATATTAATGTCCAGTGTAAGGCTAGGAGGGAAGGCAGATCTTCCTTTCTAGATCTGGAGAAAAAAAAGGCCCCCATGTTGCATTTGTCCACACATCATGAGGCTGGGAGCAAGTTCCCATTTCGCTGTGATTGATTGCGTCACCGTACCAGTAGCCAAGATGTCTGCTCCTGTACGGCTTGAGCCTTAACCTGAGCAGACCTCCAACTCTGGAAATTTCTACTAGCTCCCTTCATGTCGTAAATGAAGGTACTCGAGTACCCTTTCAACAAGGTTCTGGCTTAGTCAGAGTAGGAGGAGCTCCAGAGAATCAGGATCCGTGGATCAACGATAGCATGGCTGGGTTCCCATAGCTTCACTGAGCACAGGGGCTGACCCTGGAAAAACAGGATAACAGAGCGCGAAGTACCCACTGCGTCAGGCACACCCAAGCAGTCTGTTCCGTCTTCACCAGAAAGAGAACGGCTCCAAATCTCCAAGGCACCCTTTAGAGCGAGGGCATCGAAACGAAGCACTGCCTGTCCATCAGTCATTGTACTGGCTGGTTTTGTGTGTCAACTTGACACAAGCTGGAGTTATCACAGAGAAAGGAGCCTCCCTTGAGGAAAGGCCTCCATGAGATCCAGCTGTAAGGCATTTTCTCAATTAGTGAACAAAGGGGAGGGCCCAGCCCATTGTGGGTTGTGCCATCCCTGGGCTGGTAGTCTTGGATTCTATAAGAAAGCAAGCTGAGCAAGCCAGGGGGAGCAAGCCAGTAAGTAACATCCCTCCATGGCCTCTGTATCAGCTCCTGCTTCCTGACCTGCTTGAGTTCCAGTCCTGACTTCCCTTGGTGATGAACAGCAATGTGGAAGTGTAAGCTGAATAAACCCTTTCCTCCCCAACTTGCTTCTTAGTCATGATGTTTTGTGCAGGAATAGAAACCCTGGCTAAGGCAGTCACTGACACAGACACAGCCAAGCAGACCTCCTGGCCATCCCAGAACAAATAGCTACAGAAGCGATGGACTGCACACCAGAACACACATCACACTCCAACCCCTACCATCTCTTCCCACGCTGGTTCTGTGCTTGGACCTCCTGCTGTGTTTCTACAGAGCAGCATTCACAAAGCTCTGGGCAGCCTGTGTTGTCTTCCCCAACTAACAACACCAATCAGCATCCTTCATCTGGGGAGGCAGCAGCACGGTCAACTTCCTCAGCCATGAGAGTAACAGACTATGGCGTTTAGCTGGCCATCCCTCCCTGGAGTCCTGCAGAGCCCTGCAGGTCCCTCTGTAGAGTCACAGCTGTGCCTCATAGGCAGAAGATGAGTACAGGACTGGCTCAGTTCTCCTTTTGCATTTATTTCTGCTCCTCAAACTGACCACATCCCTTTCACATGAGAAAGGCAAAAAAGGGGACACTGAGATCTCCTTCTGCGTGCCCGTTTCATACCACACCCAACCGACGTGAGGATTTTTCCATGCTGTTTACTGTGTAAAGCATACTGCACAGTGGCCTGACACTGCTCCCTGATAACACCTTAGAGCCAACACTGACCACTAGGTTCTCCCAGCATCCCTCAGTCCCTACCTGTTAGAGGATCCTCCTGGCTGACACACCCTACCCCTCCCACCCCCATACTCTAAACTTCTCTAGCTCAGGGGCTGGGATGCCCTTCCATCTATAATCCAGGTAACTTGGCTACACTGATCTTTTTGGGCCTCTCGCTCTCCCCTCTTCCCACCCACTCTCTTCACATGGCCTGACTCAGGGTCATGCTCACTCTGGACTCTCCCAGATGCCTCTGCCTCTGGTTGTATTCTCCCTCATATCTGCAATAAATAAATCTCTCCTCAGCCATACCTAGGAACAGCCATGGTCTCCTTAACCTAACGTTTTTTTTTTTTCCATTCAACCCTGAGACGCAGCATTTACCACTAGCAGAGCACCCAGTAGCTTCATAATCTCCGGTTAGGTGTGGCCTCTGGGGCAGTGTAAGCTTCCGTGATTTCTCTTCCCACCACGGGGACCCATGCACTCACTGGGTTTGCGTGTAAACGTAGAGAGCTTGGAAATAAGAAATAGGAACGGGACTGAGCTGGATGTTGCAAGGAGCAGTTAGCTCATGTCGGCCGTGTGTAGTAGATAAGGGTTGGATACACTGCCAGGTCTGGTCAGCTCACTGGCTCACGCCAGCTCCGTGTCTAGCAGATAAGAATGAACTACTATGTAATGACGCAATGCTACAGAGTGACCGCCCCTTGTAGCTAATAAAAGCAGAGGCTCACAGCAGGCAGGCGGGCAGAGACCTTGATACTCACAGTGTCGACCATCCTGTGGTCGGGCTCTCCGACCAGAGGACAACTGATTGCTGTCCTGGCCGAGTCAAGTTAAGAGGATCCATGGGAAAAAGCAGCTGCCTGAGACGCGCCGAGTGACAGATTGTGAGCCTTTCCTGTCCTGTGGGTCTCTCTGAATCAGGTACCCCATGCGTGTGTTTTGTAGATGGATTCTTGCCACTGTAGTACTCAGCCTTGCCTATGAGCCTCTCTGTCACCTGCCTCTGAGCCAGCTGCCCCATGCCTGTGTTGTGAACCGATGTTTGTCATTGTAGTGTATAAACCTTGAGATCAGACGGTATCTGGACTCTGTCTCTTCTTCCCAGCCATAAGCTGGCCGTGACTCTCACACTAACTCGCACATAGCCCAGCAACTCTTCTGGTTACTCGCTCCAGAGACCCTCCCACCCTGGCTGTCACTCTTCGTTGACATAATCAAAACAGCATGCCATGGACCATAGCATGAAGATTCTCCTAACGCTTTCAGAATCACACACAGGCAGCTGGTCAAAATATTTTCCCGTCGCCAAAAGAAATATATGCTTAACAAAACTGAAAAAAAAAAAAAAAACAAGCCCCACCCCCCCATAAGCCTGTAAATAGAGAACTGAAACCCGTCATCCTCGGAGAGAGCTTTAAGTAGTACCACGAGTTTTGGGCACATGCTGAGTCAGTCTTTCTCTAGATAAAACGTTTCCTTTTTATTAACAAAAAAGGAATAAACACATGGCAGCTGTTTACTATTCCTTTGCCTTTAACAACACAACACTAAAGCCCCTCACTAATCCTTTCTCACGTGGTTCTCAGTGACCTAAGAGAAACATTACTGGGATTTATTTACCTATCCTGTATCCTGTATCACCAGATTGTCACTATCCTAAGATACTGTACTGAATAGCTCGGGGAAACTGCTCAGAGAGAACTTTCATGGGGCCTCAAAGGGAGGTCCAGGTCTATGAGCATTGTTTCCATAACAACTAGCACCTGGAGGCTAGGGCAGGTCTTGTTAAGATTTGGAAGGCTTGGTGGGCGTAGAGGAATCTCATATTTTTACAGTATCTGATGTTTCCTTAATCATGGCCTTTTCCAGCAGGGCAGTGGTGGCACACGCCTTTAATCCCAACACTTGGGAGGCAGAGGCAGGCGGATTTCTGAGATCGAGGCCAGCCTAATCTACAGAGTGAGTTCCAGGATAGTCAGGGCTATACAGAGAAACCCTGTCTCGAAAAACCAAACCAAACCAAACCACCAGCAACAACAACAAACCCAATCATGGCCTTTCCAAATGCTCACACTCTTCCTGAAAAGTTTAAATAAAAAAATACAAAACATGGGAACGAGTCCAGTGTATATATAGCTACAAATTTCATACATAAACACGGTCAGAAAACAAATATCGATATCGACATGAATTCAAACAGTACCTAGGGACTGCCACCTACTCTGCCATTCCGACACTCTTAAAGCCTTCTAAAAGGCCTTAGGCATCCTTTTCTGAGACAGCACCCTAGCACCAGGACCTGTTACCTCCCATGGTGTGCAGAGAGCTAGGTGTCCTTCCTATTCCCTCCCCTCACTAAGTGCTGACACCACCCAGTCCCACCTCGCGGTAGCATTGCCTTTCACCCTCTGGTCCCGTGATGATCTACACTCAAGTTCCTCATCCCCTCGCACTGTACTGACCTAGCCCAGCGTCCGGTCCCTCTTCGCCCCAAGACTGGTCCATCACTTTGCTGCCCCATGTTCTCTTGCGAGCCAGGTCGATCTATCCAATCGGACCCCATCTGGCTCGTCCACCCGCGCCCCCGCTGCCCCACGACCTAGACACCAAACCCAATGGAATGCTTCCTCCTCGGGTAGCCAGGCAATGGCAGCCCTGCTGCAGGTGTGTGTACAGGGTGCCCTCCGCGTCTCACCTGCATTCAGGTGAGCAGAAGAGGGGGGCCGCCTCTTGGCCCATCAACTGCTCAGACTCTCTGTCCCAGGAGCTCCTGAGCCGTAGACACACCTCGTGACAGGAGCCAGACAAGATACCGGCGGGTGGGTGGCACTGGAGACTAAGACCCCCACGCCCATCTGTGTCCCCGCCTCAGCTGGCGCCCGGCTTTCGGGCTATCCCGCCCCTAGCGCCAGAGAAATCACCCACGACAGTGTCGCGCGCTGAGCAAACACTATCCACTGCGCACGCGCACTGCTGAAGACAACAGACCTAAGCCTCGCCTCCCTAGGACACTACCAAGGCAAGCTCGGGGGTGAGGACCATCCCATCCAGCGCCGCGGGGGCGCCTGGAGCCGGCTGCACAGTTCGCAGTGCGCTATGCTAGATTTAACTACCGTGGCTCAAGTTGGAGCCGGAACCTTGCAGAACGGTACGGGGTGGGGTCCTTGGGAGAGTTCCTCAACTCCCCCACACTGACCCTCCATGATCCTCTGTGTGGACCTGCCCCCAAGACCCTCCTACGTACACCCCTTCACTCCCTGTCCCTTCCCTCTTTCCTGAGTCCCTAAAGCCTCTGACGTCAGAACGCAGAGGTGAAATGCAACCGCGCGCACCTCATGGTTGGTGCTGCCTAATGTGGGGCCGAGGCTTGGAGCTCGCGGCGAATGCTCAAGCAGAAAGTGTCCCTTGCTACAGCAGCATTGTCTTCTAGGCGGTGGCAACCAGCTCCTGTCTGCATAAAGACAGTGCAGGCATACAGTCCCTTAGGAAAAGGTGACTGAGAGGCGAGTGTGGAGCTGCCCTGTGTTCCTGCTAAGAGCCGAAGCTAGTTCAGAGCCAGCATTATGAGAAGGGCAAAGACCTCCCGACCCAGTTCACCCATTCCATATACCTACCAACCACCTGGGGCAGAATCAGTCCCCTGTCTCTGAGAACGCGCATCCACCTAGCATAGCAGGAAAAACCAATATGGCTCTGGAGTCACATCTGGCCTCAGCACTCCTTGTGACAAGTCTCCCAGTCAGGTGCTTGCAATTGCCCGGCTTACCCTGGATTGCAGACCGGTGGCCACAGCCGTGCCCTCCCGCAGAACCCTTTATCGTACCGTATCTTGATAACTAGCAGGATAGCTAGTTTAAAAGACTCCAGAAGGAATAGAGTCCTGTACATACCCACCCTCCTGGTTCTGACTTTGTCTCTGAACACCCAGGAATTGCAACATAGTTGACCAGGCCACCTGCAGAAGTACCTTGGAGAAACATCACACAAGATGGATAAAATGGCCAACGAGCCAGTGACTTCAACCCTATGCCCCTGTGACTTGTAATAAGGGTCCCTTTAGAAACAAATGCCACCGAATCACCTGTTTACAGCAAAGATTTTACACTGACATTCAAGTTTTGTTATTTTCCTGAGGTTTTATCAATATTTGGCGCAGCCCTGAGTCCGTGTTGGGCCCCTTAGTCTTTCTGCTAGGCTAGTATGAGCAATACCATAATTTCAGGACCACCCTGAGCTGCCCCCTTTGAGCCCCCCCCCACCCCCGCCCCGTGTCAAAATAACAAAAGAGAGATCTGGGTGTGTGAGCATAGTTTCGTAATACTGACCTTTTGCGGGTGGAGACAGGAAGGTCAGGGGTTAAAGGTCATCTTCAGGGAAGGAGTTGATTTTAAAGCCAGCCTGGGTTAGACTGTTTACAAACAAACACAGTTCCCAGCTGGCCTCTGTCCTTGCATCCTCACCTGCAGGTTTATACCCCAGACACTCCCTTCCATCTGGCCAGCCTGGCTGGGTGTCTCCTCTAAGCATTTCTTAAGTTTCCCTTGTGTCAGACTCCCACACCACACACTGTCACTCATCCATCCAGATGTTAAAGTTGCCTGCCCCAGGTGCTATGATAGCGCACACCTGGACTGTTAGTCTCAGGGCAGTTGCCCTCTTTTCCTGTGCCATAGGCCATTTGGAGAAGGCAAATTGGAATGAGTTTAATGGAGGTGGAGGTGGGGTGGGGGTGGGGGACAATTTAACATTAATTTCCTGGTAGCAAAATGTATTCATTGTGATATTTCATTGTTCCTTCAATAAGAGATCTCTTTCTACCATGCGATTGCAGTGTGGTGTGCCCAGAAATACACACAAATAAAATAATAAACAGATTTTCCTTACAAGGCATTAGCAGGTGGGTAATAAGAATTCTCTTTGCTAGGAATTTGAGAGAAGTGGGGGTGGGGTGGTATATGTGAGAGGAAAGGGAGTGGAGAAATGATGTAATTAAGCCAGGCGGTGGTGGCGCACGCCTTTAATCCCAGCACTTGGGAGGCAGAGGCAGGTGGATTTCTGAGTTCGAGAGTTCAAGGCTAGCCTGGTCTACAGAGTGAGTTCCAGGACAGCCAGGGCTACACAGAGGAAACCCTGTCTCGAAAACAAACAAACAAACAAAAAATGATGTAATTATATTAGCTCAAGAAAAAAAAAAGAAGGCATTCCTCCTACCTAATTCCTGCTTCTGGACTCAAACATGGTGGAGTTCTCAAAGGGGCGTGTCTCTAGGTGAGATAGGGAGAGATTCCTAAACTTGGGCCCACGGAGTCATTTCTCAGAAATCAGTAGTAGTCATGGGAACAGGAGACACAGGCTCTTGTACCTGTCTAACCCATATGGTATGTTAACAGCAAACTCCTCTGCCCCTCGTCCACCATGTGTACAATGTGCCTGGTCCTTGTCTTGTGGTACAGGATAATACATGGTGTCTCTAGGGAAAGACTGGCTAGCAACCTGCACCTTACAGAGGAAATGTCCTTAAAAATGGATGGGTGAAGCAGGGCGTGGTGGCTCATGTGTTTAATCCCAGCACTTGGGAGGGAGAGGCAGGCAGATATCTGTGAGTTCGAGGCCAGCCCGGTCTACAAAGAGAGTTCTAGGACAGCCAGAACTGTTACACAGAGAAACAAAACAGAAGAAAAGGGAGGGGGAAGCAGAACAGAAAGGGAGGGGAGATCATGAGAAAATGAAGGAGCCCTCACCCCAGAGTCTGAATAAATTCACTGTAAAGATTGCCTTCTATGTTCCTAGCAACATTCCTTTTCCACAGGAAGTGACAAAATAGCAGTGAGCCATACTTGCGGCCTAGGCAGGTTGAATTTCACTCTTCTCCCAGCCGTAGACCTGAGTTTTCTGAGCATTTCAGACCTGATTATGAACCTTGTTCACAGTCAAGTGCATGTCTTAACGCTCTGTGTCCTAGTACAGGCAAGGTTTCTCCCCCCAACCCTTGTGACCCGTGTTCTTACTTGGTGAGGCTGTAACCCTGTTCACTGTTCCTCAAAACCCACAGGATGAGTTCGTTTACTAAGAGGAAAGTAAGTTCTTAGTCTTGGCTGTGTGTTGCCCTTTTCGTAAGTGTTTGACTATTAACACCAGAGCTTACACCAGTGATTTTTTTTTCCTCAGTAAGCTGCAACTCTGCTTCCTGCTGGCTTGCCCCAGAAGGCTTTTCTTTCTGTTGACATCCAGCACACCCTCCCATCTGAGGAGACCACTGTTGAGCTCTTTTCCTTAATCCCCCTTGGTCCCAGTTCAAATGTTTGCCTGAGAGTCTGTACTCAGTCCGTTCTTTCTGTTTTTACCTGCATCTATGCCTGTACACACCATAAATGCAATGCCTGGGGAGGCAGGAAGCCAGTGTTGGAAGTGGAGTTACAGACAGTAATGAACTACCACGTGGGTGCTGAGAATGAGATCCAGGTCATCTGGAATAGCAGTCAATATTCATAACCACCGAGGCCCTATTATCTATGTAATCACTGGGACAAGCCTCCAGGCATCTGTATCAGATGAACGCTTAGCACTGTTAAGACCCGAATTTACAATGTGTCAAGGAGCGGCAACAAACTCCTCTCTGCACTTGGGTGCTCCTAGTGGCACATCCCAACCTAATTCCCAGCAAGAGCTTGTTATGCTAAGTCCTGATCTCAGGCTAGTTTTAGCAAGAATCCTATCAAGTTAGTTAAAAAAAAAAAAAATCCAGCCTTGCTTGCAGATAAAATTCTTGCAAAAGGTCAGCTTTATTATCATTTGGCTTGTCCCCAGGGAGAAGTCTCTTATAACAAGATTAATGTCCTAACCTGGGTGTTTATTTCTTCTCTATAATTTCCCACTGCCCCCCCCTTACACACACACACACACACACACACACACACACACACACACACACACACTCGCATCCTGATCCCACTGCCCTCAAATTCAACTTGAAATCCATTCTTGTCCTTGCTATAGAACCCCACTACAGGGTAGAACCCCTCCCACAACAGGTCTCTGGGGAATTCCTGATTGATTGTTCCTATTTTTTTTCTTTGACTATTGCAAAATTAAAGTTCTTTTTTAAAATAAAAGGGCACACTGGGCAGTGGTGGCACACGCCTTTAATCCCAGCACTTGGGAGGCAGAGGCAGGTGGATTTCTGAATTGGAGGCCAGCCTGGTCTACAGAGTGAGTTCCAGGACAACCTGGGCTATACAGAGAAACCCTGTCTCAAAAAAAAAAAAAAAAAAGCCATAGGAAAGACTTCCTGCTGATATGAACATACGCCAGCATGTCCTAAAACCAAGTAGCAGTGCCTGGAGGGAGTGCCTACAGCCAGGAATGGACCTCTGGGCAAGGAATTACCAGTAAGGTGACCTTGTACCAGATCCTTCCTGAGCCCAACCTGTGATTAGAGTGTTATTGGTGTCTACACTGAGAGCACATCTCATGACCCCAAATGCTTTGCCCTCTGTGTGGGGCCACACGGCATGGGCAGGGTTCATTGGGAAGTGGGACGTTAATGATTATAGTCATCTTAAATCTCGGTGGGCCAAAGATAATGCCCTAGCAGTCAGCTACAAGTGCCCTGACAGTGACATGGGGCACCCATACAGGTCTCCTCTGGGTGACTTAGTCTTGTGGGGATATGTGTCTATATACATAGCTAGAGGCTTTTCTTGGTTTTCACATGTTTCCAGCCACAAAAACAATAGAAACACATTATTTTCTTTCTCCAGAGACAGGGTTTCACTATTTTGCCCAGGCTGGTTTCAAACTCCAGATCTCCATAAATCTTTCTAAATCCTTCTGCCTCTACCTTCTGTCTTTTTTGTCACACTGTTTTCTACAAACTAGAAATGGCTGTGACTGAAGGAACATTGTATACCATATCAGACTTAGGACAACTTCATTT